TACCGTGATGAGTGATGGAGGTTCCCGCAGCTGTCAGGTCTTCTCATTAAGTTGGAGTGATTGACGGATAATCAGTTTGTGTTGACTTAGCGGCACATGCTATAAGGACAATGTGAGGTTTCTTTGTCTTGCAAGTAGACCTGTTATTTGAAGCTGTGGCTTCAAGGTTAGAATGACATCAAACATTACCATCTAAATGACTTTTCTTCTTCAAAGCAATTATGTGTAAAATGATCTGTTTCCTAGTGCATTTAGCTTTCATATGAAACAAACTCACTTTAAAGACCAAACATGAATCAGGATTAAATTGGCCACCAAGTGCTATTATTCTCAACAGCATCCTCTTATTCTCATGTATTATGGTCTCCATTTAAGCTGTCAAGCACAAATAAACATTATCCACAAACGTCATTATAGTTAACAAGCCCAGTGGAACTGATTTGTCCTGTGGCACTAGAAAGGAAAGGGAAAGAGGCTTAAAGAGCGTAGGGTGGGTGGGGGAGTCTTCCTCTGGGCTTCCCCATACAGCTGCAGGCTTCAGGGAACAGAACTAGATTCTGGAGTTTCACTGTTCAGCTCTGATGACTTCATAATACACATGCAGGTCATGAACGTGCATGACAGAGGAAAAACTTCAAGAGAGCATTTTGCAGATAAATGAGGGATACTTGAAAGACATCCAGGAAAAAAAAGGAAGAGAAGAAAAACAATGTAATTGATTCTTAAAGCACTGAAAACAGTGAAGTAGTGCCTTTAGGTAAAAATGAAAACCTTCACTTAAATCAGCAATGGATTTGAGGAGAGTGAGATGCATTAAGAATCAGACATTAAAGGCCCAATTTTACAGACTCTAAATGTGTAGAAACTGTAAGCCAGAGCAAGGACTAATACCCAAAGGAGTGAATTACCTGCAGCGCCTGCCGTCTCCTGGCAGTAATGAGCTTTGTGAACGTTGCAGTGATAAGGGGTCTATAATTAGGCTTAGTCATAAGCATACCCCCTGTAATTCTGTGATAAAAACCCAGTAGAACTCTGGTGTCGGTGCTCCAACCTATTTGTCACACAAATACATATGCTGAGGAAATCAAAATGTGTCAATATAAACTGTAAACACAGCTCTTTGTCTCAAGTAGTTTACCTGATGTATCTGTTGGCCTGTGTGTGGGTGTATAGTCCAGCGATATGTTCACATTGTATAGAGAAGTAGTAGTAATGTATGTGTTCGTGCATGTGTTCGTGTGTGTGTGTGTGTGAGGTGTTGTGAGCTGCAGCATAGGCTTCCTGTGAGGGAGCAGATGTCGCAGAGCTCAGGCACAGCTGCGACGGGCGATAACCGCGGTGGCAAGAATATGTCGGCACACTGGCTCTTCTCCCTGGGTCTTATCAGCCGCGCACAGCATCCAGACACACACACACACACACAAACACACACAGACACACACATACATACACAAACACACACTCTCATATAGACACTCTACAATAAGGAACTGCCACCCAGCACTAGCACACCCTCACAGCAGGCCCAGATAGGGGGAGGAAGGCAATGAGAGAGATGGAGAGAGGAAGAAAAGGAGCAAGGACTAAATCAAGGGACTTTGAGGGAAAAGGTGCAGTGAATCCCTAACAAAGCCTTGGCTCATGTCTGCTGTATCATAGACTTCATAATTTTGTGCCAATCCTAATCCTCTATAGCTGTGAATGGGCTATTCTTTACAGTTTCCTCTCACAAAAAGAGATAACTTTCATGTAACTACATAAGTATATACTGTAACTTTGTTCACGCAATTAGTCAATTTGGGGTTGGACCACCACGCATACATACTGTTTTATGATTTTGTGGAAGATTTAATATTTCTTCCCTGTTCTGCATAAGTGGTTTGTCTTGCAGTTTTGCCAAGTCACCATATCTCAGCAGTTAAGCTGATGAACACTGTTATCACGACCAGAATGACTGACCAGAAATTAGACACATTTTGTAATAACATTTTACAACCTGATTGTACATATGAAAATCTTGCTTAATGATGACATCACAGTACTTCTGGCAGTGATGCAAGCAAATGAGTGTGACAGATATCATTAAAAATGTGGGAAAAGATGAGGGTTGATAATGATGCAAGAAGGAGAATAAAAACTGGGTAAATAAGGAATGGAAAAAAGTGAGGAGCATGTGTGGGAGGACAGGCAAGGTGGTGGTGAGAGGTGTGTGCGTGTGTGTGTGTGTGTGCGTGTGTGTTTGTGTGAGACAGAGAGAGAGAGAGAGAGAAGTTACCCTCTCTATTTCCTCAGCACCAGTTTTGTGGTTTCTATGAGGAACAGATGTTCACAACTTGATATAGTGCCTCATCCCCCTCCACTCACTATCTCCAGTGCCAGCACCACCAACTGTCTGCATACACACAAACACGCACTCACACACGCACGCTCACACACTAGCGCACACACACACTGTCTCTTGGGAAAGACAGTGTACATAGCAGTGACTTTCTCATGTGAATGCTTGGGGACATATTCACCTACATACTTTTTAGGGACTTTTTACTGTCCATTTCCCTCTGTGCTCAAGCTGCATATCCTGTTCTTGAGTCAACACTTGATATAATCAGGTGTCACTTCCTCCTTTGTCAGTTTGCACTTCTGTTGGTCAGCTGTGACCCTACATTCAGTGCTCTTACTCAGCCTAGCAGTCACTGTAATATATCCTCATTTTCTATGTTCTTCTTCATCTCTCAGGAAATAAGAGATGGGCCAATACATGAGTGATTTGCTTGGCTCAGAAATTAAGGCCTGTAAGCATATTAAATATTTAAGAATTGTGAAATATAATTTAGGCATTGCATTGGGCCATACTTCGCTGTTTGCAAAAAAAACCCCAAATTGGATAAAAGAAATCTGAATAAAAATAGTCAGACATACTGAAACAGCTACCATGATGCATTGTATAGCGTTCTTATTAGAGTCAAGTGTTTCAATGGACATCATTCTTTCCAATGAGCATGGTTTGAAGTTGAATTCCCATTGTGTCTGGAAGATTCAAACAACCCACACTTTGCTGCTCGATTGCAAACAAAATGTCAGGGGGGGTCTATGGGTGCAATTTGTAAAAGCAGCATTCCAGCGTACGTGCTTGAGTGGGTGGGTCAATGATCCGTTACACCATGTTGTATTACAGAAAGACTCTCTGTCTCATCCTCTTTCATAATATTGTGGAGCAGCTTGAGCACACATCAAGGATGTTAACATCCAAACCAAGAGAACAACATCCTCTTAAGGACGCTATTCAAGAAAACTGTGTTTAAATTACAAAACTCATATGATGCATGTGACTCAAAGGGAAATGTCTCAGCACAAAACCAATCATTTGTATCAGCATTTCAATCAATATAACACAAGTCAGTTACTTTTCTCCCCCTGTTTTGATCGAGTGAGATGTACTATTTCCCCTTTCATGACTGCCTGGAACCTACAATGGTGACTTTAATGGCAACTAACATAAGAGTGTGGTCTGTTGAAGGTGCACAAGAGAAGAGAGGATAGAAGAAGAGAGAAGCAGGGACACAATGGGTCTTGCGTTCCTTTCAGTCGACTCAGGGCCTTATCTCATTTCAACACACTAGCCTGTGACTGCCACTATAGGAAAGGATTTACAATGTGTGAGTGAAGGAAATGCTGCAAACTTCTCTCTTTCTTTCTGTGCTTTAACTCTGATAAACACACACACACACACACACACACAGAAATAGTCATTTCCATACCAGCACAATGACCGAATGTGGTCCTTGTATCTCAGTGAGTGCTCAACCATCCTCGAGGTGCTGTCAACATAACAGAGTCCAGAGCAGGGTGGGGGTGTGTTTGTGAGGTGACAGAGATAGAGGAGTGAAAGAAAGAGGAGACAAAGCTGTTTTCGTCATTAATGCCATCAAAGGGACTTCGAGTCGCGGTATTATGGCACAGAGAGTTCATCAAGGCGAGCTCCCACCTTGTGTGTGTTTCATTGTGCATTTTATCAGGTCGGCCACATGGAGTGTCAGAGCTAACCCGGTGACCGCTCAACAAAAGGCCAAATTAAGAGGAGTGAGAGGCTGTCGTACAGGGAGGCTGACAGGTTGACTGACGCCATTCCCGAGGAGAATAGCATCCTGTCAATCTTGGAGCTGTCACCTTGACAGGAATCCTTTCTTTGGATGCAACCCCCATCGCCAACCTTTCTGTCACTCAAGACCACACACACACACACACACACACACACACACACACACACACACACACACACACACACACACACACACACACACACACACACACACACACAATCACACACAATCACACACACACCTTTCCTTTTCAGTATTCTGCACAGGAAACAAATATTCCCCCTACAGTAACATACTAAGGAGACACAGACACATTTCAATTCGTTCTCATCTCAGCGCGTCATTACTGACGTCTTCAGATAGCGTGACAAAGCGTAATTATTTGTATGGTGCGGACTGTATGATGTATGTGAATGTAAAGTCCACATGTGTTACTGTTGCTTACTGCAGCCTCATGCGGCACTGATGCCCAAGACAAATTTCCCTTCGGGGACAATAAAGTTGATCTTATCTTATCTTATAAACCTGCATTCTATTGAACGGCCAGCAGGGGGCGACTCTTCTGGTTGCAAAAAGAATTCCGGATCCATTAGAAATAATGGTAAAATGACCCTACTTCTCAGTTGATTTATTACTTCAGTGAACACTTTCCTAAAGAGTTTATGGACTCAATCGCTAGTTTCAGGTCTTCAATAGAATATGATGTTCATTTAGTAAATTATGGTCCCATTTAGAGGAAAATAGACCATAAATGCTTCAGGGTGGGATTATCTGTGATTGACAAGTCATTACTATGGTGACCTTTCAATCAGGCTAGAGTGACTCGTACCCACGGCACTGTTTAAATTTAACCAGCGCCGTTAAAAAAGCGTATTACGAGTCGGCTGTTCACTTTCTCTGGTAAGTACATTTAATTTTAAGACTGAAGTTTGCTAGACAAATTGTCAGCCCTGTTAAAATGACAGTTAAGATGAATTACAGATGCACCTAGCTAAGCAAGCAAGCTAGCTCCACACCAAGCTAGCCATTAGCTTGGTTGCAAAAAATCAACATGGCGCACTCTATTGGCCAAAAACTTCAAAACGGCAGTTCAGAAACCAACGAGTGATGTCACGATGACTACATCCACTTCTTTTATATATGATAGAGACTCACCCGAAGGTTACCTTCAGCGTCAAATAACTATGTTTTGTCACTTTTCTGAAAGCGTCGGTACTGGATGCCCTGAGATGACAACAGGTATATACAGAGCCACCTAGGGCTATAACTCTGAAAGAAAATATAGAGAGTGAGTTTCATAAACACTCCATCCGTCTCCTTGACAATTGTACTTCCACCTTGGTATGCAACACACGCTTCCTCTGACAGACCCATGTAATGGCCTGTGCATCTGTTTATGTGTGTAATGTTAGTGTATTTCACTGTTTGTGTTTGTGTTTGACTATGTTTACAGCAGCAGCTTTACAGTAAATTCTCATTAGGTTACCTGAATTTATTCCTTCTCATGGGCCATGCGGGAAACTGTTATGTTCCAATCAAAGAACGCTGAGGGCTTCCCCCTGCACACTTGTTCACATTATTTAATCAGCACTGGAGCGTTTTTCAAAAGTCCTCCATATGAAAGCAGCATTTGTGTTCGAGGCTGGCGAGGCTGGTGGGACTGGAGTTAGGGCAGAGCAGCTGTCTGTGTGTACTTTAGAAGCTCGTTCTGTTTGTTCTGTAGACACAGGAGGGGTCAGGAGGGTGTCAGCTTTGTCTTCTGTCCTCCTCTATGGCTATGTGTTTGTGTGTGAGTGTGTGTCCACCAGAGGGAGAGAAAGGGCAGGTGGGTGGAGCAAAAGCACTAACAGACCAGAGTGGACAGGTGGAGGATTCTCACTACAGAGGAACCAGATGTACCTGCCTTTTTCCCTGTCCCTCTCCGTACTGTTCTGTCTGCCTATCTAATTTGTGTTATTTATTTGGTGGTAGTGCACATTAATAAACATTACTGTAAATGTGCCAAAGTCCACCAAAAGTCATTTTTTTCATCTGCAGACTAAATGATTAATCTGTCATTTACAGTGATGCTAATTAATGTGCATTGTCCCTGAAAATAAATAAGTCAGTCCACCCACCTGTCTATGAAGGACTAGCCTGACATCACAAAGAAACCTTTATACATTTTTACAAGCTCACGTGCAGACAGTCTTCTGAATTGATTCAACAGAAAGCTGTTCATGTATATTTTCCAGTGCTGCACAAAGTAAGTCTGCAGTCTTATGTACTCAATTTTGCTTTCCTTGTTGCTCACGTCGTCCTGATATGAGGAAACAGCGGCCCCCACGGGCAGACAGCGGGACAATAAAACAGTTGTATTTTCCTCAGCTCTTACTGCTTTTTGATTTGACCTTTTTGATAACTGAAATAATTCGACAGAATTAAAACAATTCTTTAGGCTACACTTTGCAAGCCACGCATTCATGTAACTTATATTATTTACTATTCTTTATTAGCCTATGATCCCTGATTAACTTCCAAAGGCGTTGATGCAGATATCGTTCTGAAATATAGTGCAGTAGTCCTATATTTAGCCTCCAATGATCTTAATAATATTGTACCAATATGAGGTTATGTACTCTTCAGTTTGGATCTTCTTCAATTTAGAAATTTTGAGAGGATTCCTGTACAATATATGCCTGCTCTTGTCCCTGATGGTGCCCGAGAACGAGAGAGAGAGAGAGAGAGAGAGCGGGGGAGGAGGGGGCATGGGGGGGTAGGAGCTCCAGATGGTGTTTAAACGCAGACAGAAGGCTACAGCGAGGACAGTGAGAGGAGGAGGAGAAAGCCGCGTTACTGCGTACAGTGGGCCCGTAAGCTCCACTCATCAGTGAAGACCAAACAACAAGTCTGAAGACCCGACATTGTTAATTTACGGGAAAAGTAACCTTAAAATATGCTCAACTGACTGTGATTTTCCACGGGAGAAGTGAATCTTTTACAACACCATCTGAAGGCAGGTCGGCGGAGGATCGGCGCGTCGGAGGAGGAGCAGGACCACATGAGAAAACGTGGTAGTCTGTCCACAGGCTGCAAAGAAACTGTGTTTTTAAATTGATCCCACCGGATGTATAAGGACTTGTTCCTGACACCGCGGACTGTGGCTGAACTGTGAACTAAAGAAGAAGGGGGTTAAAGTTGTCACAGGAGGAATAGCAGACGCACCCTGCAAACAAGAGGAGCCGCATCTTAATCATTTGCGTTCTTACATGGGAGACGCGAGGATTTGTGGACTTGACATCAGAATAGAAACCGGTTAATAGTTTCGTCTGCTTATAACAGAACAGAAAGGACTGCGAACAAAAGGGACGTTTTTGCAGCTTTTTTTTCCTTTTATTTCTTCTATCTGGGATAGTTAAAATGAGCAAGAGAGCGGATTTACATGACTGGGACAAGTTATGACTTGTTCACATCACCTTCAACACTGAAAAGCTGTTTTCTTAAAAAAAAAAACAGACTGCAAAACCAAAGACATCACAGTGTGCTTAAGGACCCAAGAGCCCTGGCTTTGATTTTATTTCTGCCCTTTTCGATATACCTGAGAAGAGAAATACCTCATAATTTATTAAACCTGGAAAGTCAAAACCCCTTTTGAATTCCCAAAGGAAAGTTAAACATTTTCTTTTGTGCTAGACTGTGGCTTCTGCCCCTCTTTGCTCTCAATATTCAAGAGCAAAAAAAGGAGATAACACCTGAACCGCACTATTTAGCAAAGGCTTTACCTTTATTTTTTTCCCAAATAATGAGGATTGAGACTATCTAAAACCTGTTTTAGAAACCTTTCGGTGTGGATTATCACCGCTACAATTACCTCAGCTTGACCTCGACCTTCAAAAAGTAAGTACAACCTGCAAACTCGACTGTAGGCTATTCAAGCAAATCATGGGGCAATCCATTTGTTACTGGTGTGAATTGTTTTCAAATGCAAATGGTTTGCTAGAGCGTAGGCCTATATTCTTTTTTTTTTTTTAAATAGCCTAGTCCTTTCTCGGGAACATTTGTTACAATGGAAGACGTGTTTCATATTTAAAGGCTTAGACAGCTGAAATGTCTCAAGTTTTACCACGTTCTGCTCAACATGATGTTCGCAGCTCTGGTAGAGCGGCGTGTTAATCTGAAGGTGAAGACAAAACAGGCTACTGTTCATATAGGCTACCTACCTATTCTCCAAAATGTTTCCCCCCCGCATTTATCTTTTTTTCTTGTAATTCTGCCTACTTTAATTTCATCCTTTCACATATTAAGTTGCCTTCAGTCGGTTTGGGACACTGAATATAGGGACAATGCGTTCTCTGAAAGTAATAGCCTAGTAAATGATCGTTTCTTATTTAATTGTTGCTTATAAAACGGCATATAGGCCTAGATGGGGACATGGGAGCTGCCTTACATTGCCCAGGCATGCATTAAAGTGAGTTTGTAAAAATATTAAAACATAATTATTATTAGGATAGTATTATTTATATTATTCTTACTATTATAATAATAATAATAATAATTATTATTATTATTATTATTATTTATTATTATTAAAATATGTGTACTTTTTTTTTACTTTATAGAAGTGAAGGAAATGTTGTGAGAGAGCTGAGGTGGCAGAGAGAAATGAGAGGAGAGACAGAGAGAGAGAGAGAGAGAGAGAGAGAGAGAGAGAGTTCATGAGTTGTTTGCTCCATCAGTCTGTGCTGCACATCAAAGTGATGTTGAGACAAAGTGATGACACAAAATCTTTGGTCTCTATGAACTTGTTGTCCACCTGGACTGGATGGAGGTGATGGGTGTGAAGCAATCATTTTAGACATTTACCCTTAACTGAACTCCATGGTGCCTCAAAACAGCCACCAAGTTGTTTTACCAACTTGTGGAGACAGAGGTAGGGGGAGTGTTAAACAGGAAGACTCTGGCAACCAAAGGAAATAAACACAACTGAAAAGTGAGTAAAAAAGCTGAAATCATGGTGGTATAATTGATAGAAATCCTTGTGACTGTGGGGACACTCCCTGAGGCAACACAAGTCCAGCTTAAGGTTTCTACCCCCAGTTGAACAGCCTCATCAGCGCACTCTTCTGCCTGTGAGTGCAACAGTAAAACACTCAGGCCATTTTCTCTGCAGGACACTGCCCTGTATAATTGGCCCTGGTAAATATCATCTGAATAATTGAACAGTTGATAATAGTCTTGAACAATGGATGGCAGGTTGCAGAGGTGAAACCGCAGTGCAGACACCCTGCCTCACCACACATTATACCTCCGCCACCACCAACCGAGCATCTCTGCCTCTTTCCTTCCAAAGCTGGCTGCCCCATCGCTCAGCTGGGCCTGGCCAGCCGCCTGCTAAGGCAGATGTCCCCACTTCATCATTAAGTAGCTCTCTTAAAAGGCAGGCCACTGATTATGACCCCAGCCTGCAGAGTGTTTATTCAGTTCCCATCTACCACAGGTGCATGGTTGGGACGTCTTCTGTTTAATATACAGAAGGAAACATACCACAGGATTTTAAAAGACAACTTGTTTTCTTCAGCAGAAACTGCATCAGGCAAAGCCACAGAGAGTCAGAGCAGGGTCTCTGCCATTTAATGACAAATGCAATGTTATATTTCCCTTTGCTTCATGATAAGTTTTCTTGTTTTATTATTCTGTGATTCATTGCTGCTATTTCAGGCACATCATGCCTAATGTTTTATTGTCAGTGTATAATAGGCACAATGTTTGTTGTACTCTTGCATGTGCCAATGTTAACCAGATAGTTTATCAGTGAGTTATAAATCAGGTGTTTAACAAGGAAAATGCAGGAAATAGTGAAAGTCATTAGTATTTTTCATCATCTCAGTCTAACAGTGTCTGTGTCCGGTGGTTGTCTTTTTTACCCGCACCTTGACTGTCTATACTGTCACTTTATGTTGCAGGATCTGTACAGTTTACATGTTTACTGTACGAGTGTGTGGGCTTGTTGAGTGCACTTTGTGTGTGTGTGTGTGTGTTTGTGTGTGTGTGTATGTGTGTGGTAATTATTGTAATCTAAATGCGGGCAGTGCAGGTGAAACTGGCTGTCTCCTAATTAATGAGTGGAGCAGATGGCCTCGAGTGGGCGGGAGCTGCAAGCGCACAGTGAGCCGGTCAGGTGGTCAGCACAGCACAGACACCTGGGCCATCGCAAACAAGACAAGCCAAGCGGTTGACATAACCCAAAGACATCAGGCTGGTGTGTGCGTGTATTTACTTGTCTGTGTATGTATATGTATGATTTTCCTGAAAGTCAGCAAACAGATATATACAGTATTAAATCTTATATTAAGTGATCCCTTGAAAAGGAGAAGTATCTACTCGTGACCCCACATCATGCACATCTATCAGTTGGGAACTGTTGAACCAATGAGCTTTAAGAGGTAAAACTATACATGAAACAGGGGAAAAAAGAAACATTAGAGATGAGGTAAGAATAATATACCAAAATATACCATTTTGTGAAGCAGAGTATTTTTTCTTCTTCTTTCTATTAATCAAATCATCTCTTGAGATGATTTAATTAATAGATGGCCATCTGAACACTTAGGGTTTTACATCAGGTGGTTTATAAGTTCTTGCAATGACACAAAGTTACACAGTGCATGTGTAGCCTATTTACTTTATGTTTGTGTGTGTATATTTTAAGAAGGAGTGAACCGCCCCTCTACTAATGCTGTATTCTTACGCAAACAGTACATTAATTATTTGTGTAAACAGTTCACATTTGTGCATTTGGACATGTATAAATATGTTTAAGGTATCCATTCTAAGTGAAATGTACTCAAAAGTGTCTATTTATTCATGACACATTTCGTCACCCAAAAACAGAGGACTTTTTTTTTTCTCAGATTAGCTGATTGTAGGAAGTCACACAGCTTTGCCTCCAGGGTGAGAACATTAGCCTTCAATAGACAAATATAGTTTCAAAATAAGAGGTGGAACGTACAGCATGTGTTTAGTTTGTGTCATGGAGAACAAATAGATTTAGTATTTGACTTTTGGTAGTTGTTCTTTGATATTGCTGTGTTCAGGATGACAAATTAAGCCTGTCTTTTGCAGCATCGATGCTTAGGCTACAGCAGAAAAATTGTGTACTCACTGCACAGTTAAAGTAAGGTTAATGAGACCAGTATGTAAATGTGTGTGTTTTTGTGTAAAAAATGGGAGCAAGTGAGTGACTTAAAGAGTGATGAAGTGAATCTCTATGGTTTCATTGCTGTTTATCCTAATACACAGTGGGAAAGACCCGTGTGGTTGTGGCCACAATCCTCTGTCACGTGTGTGTGTGTGCGTGTGTGTGTGTGTGTGTGTGTGTGTGTTGGTCTGCTCGGCCCTGGTCTGTTCCACATGTGTTCGACATTACTGTGACATGGCTGCCCAGCTTCTCAGGGGAGAAGGAGAATGTCAGAGACTAGAGCGGAGAAAGGAACAGCTTCCCAACATCTGATGGAATGAGAAACACACTTGCTGGAAGGCTGGCCTGCTAACGCCACAGCGTGGGAGCAGAGCAGAGGATGGAGGCCAAGTAAAACCCCAAATGTGTGTGTGAAATCACCCTTTTCACTATTTTCCTCATTCACTTCGCAACATGTGCACATATCCGCTCAGATTCCCAAGATTAACATACAGTAAACACACTGCTTGTTAGTCACAACATTGTTTCACATCCACTGGGATTATCAGGTGTCTTTTCTCCAGACTTCCATGCACGCTGAGCAGGTGAAATGCTCCAATTACTTATCTTTGAAAACTCACCATTTATAGCTAAGTAGTATTTCTAGAAAGTATTTGCTGAATTGACTCTTCATTTTACCAAAATGACTTCAATATGCACCATTGGCAAATTGCACCCTTAATTATGCATTTCAAAAGGAATGCACATTTCTAGGGTAAAGAAATACTCAATCATGAATGTGAATGAATGAATGAATCATGAATGTCACAACACTGATTAATCCACATGTACCGTGCATATAGCTGACAGCAACAGCTAAGAAAAAACAAATGCTTCCTTATCCTGCCCTTCTTGTCTTGTGCCTATTTCACCTCCTACTCTCCCTCCTCACCTTTCACTTCCTCACTTGCCCACTGACCTTATGTTGACCTTCTTCTGTTCCTTCTCCCATTCTCTCCACAACACCTCCCGCCCTAACCTACTTCATGGTAGGAAGTGTGTTCAGATCAGAGTCAGACATAGGAAACAGCTGGGTTAATCTACAGTAGCACCGAGCTCTGTTTTAATCAAGCCAAATGGACAGGCCAACAGAGAAAATGGGAAGTTCATATTGTCACCGCTACCTGATATGACCAATCCCTCCCTTTCCTTCTGCCCCACGTCGAGGCCTTTATCACAGACAGGGAGTAAACAAGCACAAAGGAACACAGACTGAAGTTATTAAGGCCTCCACTCCAAAGCAGTCCTCTCTGGACGTCTGAGAAGTGCTGCAATGGAGGAGCGTGCAGGCCGAGATTGGGAAGGAATGCATGTCTTTCACATTTACGCTCTCTCACTCTCTGTACAGTATTTGTGAAATTAAAAAGCCGTTATCTCATGGAAACAGATCCTGTGCCACACAGATGGTTCCGTCTCTCTTCAAATGGGAGGCTGAGCCACTGAGTGCCGTTGTGTTACCAGTTAGTTGTGCAGACCTTAATCTCGGCTCCAGCCTTCCTTCCTCTGCCTCACTGTCTCTCTCTTTACACACCCGCATGCAGATGCAAACAAACGCTATCCCTTTAGATGTAAGCATTGCCCATGTAAAGTACCAATTTCACTAGGACAGGGACATTTTACCAAGGTCAGAGATTTTCTTGATATGTCAAAGAGTAGTGGT